GTTTTGTATAGGAGAAAAGAGATGGTATTTGTGGCAAGCGCGTGGGTCCGGTCCGGTGAAATTTTCCGCTCCCCACACGTTCACATTTGGTGCATTTTGTGACAATTAAAAGAAAGATAGAGGGCTTCTCAACTTAGCTTGCACAACTCTTTCTCTTCTTCTTCTTCTTCTTCTTCTTTTTTCTTTTTTTTTTTTAATAGAATTGGCTTATACAACTCTTTTAATTAACCAACATGATTAGACTATATATCAAAAATTAATTTCTACTTTATCTATTTCAACAATAATAATCTTAACTTTAATTGGATGACTCAACAGTTAAAAGTTTGAGATTTTAAATTGAAAATCTTAATTTCGAGATTTAAGTAGATTTAAAAATAAGAAATAGTTATCTCTTCTATATAGTTTATAATCAGATGTACTAAAAAAATAGTAATCATAATTTGATGTTAACTTTTAAAACAAAAAAATTAAAGGAAAAATTAACGTAATAAAATAAATGTCAATTAAATTTTTTTCTTACATGTGTTTTTAGTTTCATAGTTTCACTTTGTTTATTATGTTAAATTTCACTTAAATATTTTATCTTTAAATTCAAATTAAAACTATTATTATTGCATAAAAAATATTTTTCTTATAAATACAAAAATGCAATATACAATATAGATAATTTTAATTTTTTTAAAAAAAATTTATCTTCAATTATTGCAAGATTCTTTATTTCTGTTTATTAAGGTGAGATTTGTTAGTTCCCTTTTATCTTTTCTTTTTTGGCTTACATGGAGAAAATGGGAGAATGAGAAAGCTCATCATACCAACTACTAAAGATTTTTTCCTTAAATAATCTACTCAAAGATCCCAATTTATTATATTAAACTCAGAAAAATAATATTAACATACTATTATTCATCAAATGGAATGAATATGTGAAAAAATAGAGGAAAGAATAAGAATTTCAAAAAAGTGACTTGACTTTGTAGGCTGTATATTTTATAATTATTAATAAAAGTAAGTTTATTTATATTAGGATTGTCACCCAACATGATGTACAAAAACAAATTACAAAACTATTATCTCTAACAATAATTTAGCAATAAGGTATGACAATTTTTTATCATGCTAATCCTAACATGAGTGACCTAAACTAGCAGATAAACCAACTTCATTTGATGGGCTTTTAAGCATAGTTTAGAAAGACATGGTGTTTATAAACTTGAAAACTTTAGAGTCCAGAACTGGACTTATAAATTGCAATATGGACTATTTGAAACTATATTGACTAATGACTACCCCAGTTATGGTGGGTCTAAGGGGTACCTCATAAAAACTCAATCTTTGCCACCAAGTAATTGAACCCAAAGCCAAACCCAAGCCTTGCACATATATTCCTCCCCCCAATCTTCCCTCTCTGCATCCTTCCTACTTCTCAACTTCTCTCTCCTGTTTCACTCAAAGCCCCCCTCTAGCATAACTCCTCTGTTCCTCCCTTGCTTACTCTGTCTCCTTTTTGAGTTCCTCTGTTTTCTCAAAATTCTCAAATTTCCCTTTCAGAAAAATGAGTTCTCCGGCTTCTACACCAATGAATTCGAGGAGACAATCATTTCCACGACCGAGAGGCGAGATCAAGATAAAGATAATCAAGGGTCTCTTCAGATCAGCCGTGACAATTGCAACCATGGTCACTAAGAAAGGAAGAAAGAGGAGAGAAACTAGAAGTGACCTTAGCTCCGGCTGCACAACCCCAGCTGCCACTCCAAGTGGGTATAACTCGGACGGTTCTTGGACTCACTGAGTCAAGTCTTTTCGATGATTCCGTATTCCGTAGGCTCTCTCTGTACACTAATCGTGGGTACGGTTCTTGTTTTATTCTTTAAATCTTTATTCAAGTTCCTTTTCCCTTCTAATCCTTTTTATGTATGGCATAGCATAAGGGAATTTAGAGATGTGATTTGGGTATGGGTTTCTTTTTAAATGCAGATTCTGTGCTATTCTTAATCTCTAGA